GCTCATGAAACACACACATTCACTAGTAATGCAAATTCGAAATTCAATTAACTTCACTAAATTTCAAAATCGGCGACCTGCCAAACGGAGCAACCAGTAGAGTGAAGCCAATCGATGAACCGAAACGCTTCTTCTCCGAGATCACCAATGCCATGAGGACCACGAAACGACGTCGGATGAAGCAAAACGCCGGCTCTTCTCCGACTCTCTGGATCCGGAACCGGTACCCACTGCTCGTAGTCTACGGGAAAATCTTCACCGACGCTAATACATGAGCTAGAAGTCGAAATACTCGAAACGGCGTCCATTCGGTATCGGAGGTTGCAATTCTGAGACGGCTTCGTCCTATTCCCGAGGAAAGCTGCATCGATTAGAGATTGGCGAGAGGATAATCGAAAAATCTTGAGAGAAGAGAGTGAAGGAGACGAGCTAAGAATCGTCATATGGATAATCGATCATCAAAAGCAGCGAAGAAGAAGATATTTTGTTCCGGGATCACGTGATTATCACGTGTGTGTATGAGTATTTTGGGCGTTTTAGTTGATAAATAACCACGAGAGACCCATCATCCAAAATCTAATCACATTGTATATTCTTGTAAAACTTCAAAAATGCTCTATTATTATATTTTCCCTGTCATTTTTTTAACAGTGTCAAATAAATTCTTAATTCACCTCATTGGACTCAATATTCAACAAACAATTTCAACGATTTGCTAAAAATAGAAATTTGCAGCACTTCACAGAGAAACGATTGAAGACTAGATTCCGAGAAATAGTTGGAGTGTGGTCCACAAGGCATTGAAAAAAGTAGCCATCATAATAAAGTGGTAGGTTCTCTCCTTCAACTATATATTGATTTGATCAAGACAATCTTTTATCAAATTCAAACAAATTATCGTAATCGAAGTATCAAAATTCAAACTAAAAAAATATTCAGAGAGAAAGAAAGGTAACTTCAGTATGCAATAATAACTAACAATTTAAACACACTTGATTAAAGTCAAATTTTCCATATTCAAAGAAA